TGTACAATACGATTAGCTATATATAATAGATAATATATACTGCGTACACATCTACGAAAAGAATGAGAGTGCTAAAGATTTTATTTTAAAATTTATTAAGCCTCCCGGGTTAAGTGATGAGATAAGCATCGATTTTTAACTTTAAATAAAAGAAACAAAAAGTTTAATTTACTATAAAACACCATTCGGTTCGCGTCACGGGTTAACGGCATATTAATAGCTTTATCCACTGCGATGGTTCCTTTACTTATGGTATATTTTTCGAATTGCTTTTTGTATTAATTTACAACGGTTAAAAATTTAATTGGAAATATTCTAACTGATTTGCTCAGTCATAACATGTCTTAGAGGCCTACACAACAATGCAATTTGTGGTTGTAATCATTTATTTAGCACCTTCTTGTTATACCGTTGAAAGATTTAAAGTTTGGATTATACCGTTGAAAGATTTAAAGTTTGGATTATACCGTTGAAAGATTTAAAGTTTGGATTAAGGTTAATTGAGTGTAGGTCAAATATGCCCCTGGCGAAGTGTGTATTAGGGTGTTAAAGGAGCTAAGTCTCTAACTCGATATTTTCCATAATAGTCGAAATTAAAAACACAAATTAGAATTCAATATTGGTCCATTTCAATCCAACATGATGTTGTTATATCCAAGTAGCCGTGAAAATGTGGTATATTTACTGTCGCATTGTAAGTTTTCCTTCATTTTTCGCCCGTGCGGGTATAGATAATCTTATAAATGAATACTTCTTAGAATACAAGACGATATTCATCCCAACTTTACATGTACATTGTATTGTTTAATTATATTTTTGGTTGTGGTGTATATCCAATTAGTTGGTCAACAGGAGTTATTATAGCCTTATATAATAAGGGTGACCCCCATGATGCTAACAATTATCGTGGTATAACCCTGTATAGTCATTTAGGTAAAATGTTCACGTCTATTTTTAATAAGAGACTACAGAACTTGAACTCTGAACATACTATATTGTCAGATGCAATGTTCGGATTTAGAGAGGGTTTGGGTACTAGGGATGCAACTTTCACTTTACATAATCTAATACTTAAGACTTTGTCACAGAAAAAGCGGCTACATTGCTGATTTATCGACTCTTCCAACGCATTTGATAATCGCACACTAAACTATGACAGAAATTTCTCAAACATGGCGTAACCGGGAAACTTCTCAAATTGTTAAAATCTATGTACTCCCAAATACATATACAATCATGTGTCAAATTTAAAGGAGAATTTTCAGATTACTTTACATGTACCTCTGGCTTATTACAAGGCGAGTCTCTCTCACCATTTTTGTTTTCATTCTATGTCACCGATTTGGAAACTAAACTGCTTAGTTGTAATGGTGAACCTATAAGTATGTAACATAAATTTGTGTCTACTAATGTATGCAGACTATATACCGTATTACTTAGCTACTCATCTGATAATTTACAGAATATGTTGAATGGTATAGATGAATATTGTTCGGTCAATTGCCTCGATTTAAATGCAAATAAAACGAAAATCTTCGTTTTTAGAAACGGTGGTAAGATCATGTGTAATGAAATGTGGTATTATAGAAATATTTTAGTTGAAGTAGTCAGTAGCTTTAATTACCTGGGTATAGTTTTCAACTATAACGGTAAATTATCTGTTACCCGGAAAACTATAGCTCTACAGGGACAGAAATCTTGCTTTAGTTAAATGCAAACCTTCAAAGACAACCATTTTAATATACAAACCAGTTTAGCATTATTTGTCACATACGTGATCCCCGTTCTAAATTATGCATCAGAAGTCTGGGGATGTCAGGAAGCCGATAATATAGAAAAGGTCCATAGGTCATTTTGTAAGAAAATGTTGGGTGTTAGAACATCAACAAGTAACGTATTAGTAGCCGTTGAACTTGGTAGATATCCTCTTAGTATACAGAGGAATATATTAATAATTTAAGTACTGGTTAAATATAATTAAAAGTAATAATAGTGTTTTAAGTAATTGTTACTATGATAACTGTTTTATTGTTGTACACATAATGAAAGAAACTGTGTTATTTCACAGCTGAATTGTATGGTAAGAACCGTAGAACCACCTTGTAGGGAATATAACTTTTAATCTTTAACACCCTAATACACACTATGTCGGCGGCATGTTTGACTTACATTCACTTAACCTTAATCCAAACTTTAAATCTTTCAACGATTTACAAGAAGGTGCTAAATATTTCCATTTAAACTTTTGACCTCTGTAAATAAATACAAAAAGCAATTCGAAAAATAAACCATAAATAAAGGAACCATCTCGTTTCTAGAGTTTTACGTCCTCTTCCACCTAGGGGCATGGAACCATCTCAGTGAATAAAGCTATTAATATACCGTTAAGCCGTGACGCGAACCGAATTGTGTTTAATAGTAAATTAGAGGAATAAAACATATAACGTTGCTGATTGGGGCTATTATTAATTAAGAACGCTGTGTGTGTGTAATAGTTTTACTTGACGTACGCTTCGAATTAACTGATATCGCAGACAAGAAATTAGCGTTTATTTAATTGAACACTGTAGCATTGACTATGTTTCCTTTGAAACCCCATAACATTGCACAAAATGTCATTATTGGAGCAAGGCTATATCTACGTGCAGCGATGAATTTGTCGACTCATACCAATTGTCAATTAAATGGAAAATAAAGCACACCTCATACATTAAACTTTAATTAAAACGTTTCATTATGAAGACATATGGACATCAATAATGCGATACTAATTTGTGGTATGGCTTGTATTCTTGTCTTGTCTATTTCTTTCTTTGAACATTTTATAATATTATATTATAGTTTGGACTGGTTTTATTTTCGTATTCAAAAAAAGCAATCTTAATTTTCACAAATTCCTAATCCATGTATCTAACAATAGAGTCAATGCTATAATCAGGGTTTTTTTCTACAGTAAATATAGAACATAAACTGGCGTATTGGAAAGATTAAATGTTATGCTTTTTTGAATAATAATGGATTATTTGTTGTGTTTGGTGGTTCTTCTTTTGCATAATATCAAGAATATACAGTCAAAATGGGTAACAAATAATGTAATTTTTTGTCATGGTTGATTGATTAGAATCCTTGACCTATATAGGTGTTAGTAACAACTGCCGTGTTGTGATACCTGATTGGGGCCATAAATTAATCAAGAACGCTGTGTGTGTGTGAAATAGTTTTACTTGAACTACGCGTCCACCTAACTGATATCGCAGACAAGAAATTAGTGTTTATCTAATCTAACATATGCAAAAGAAGAACCACCAAACACAACAAATAATCCATTATTATTATTCAAAAAAGCAGAACATTTCATCTTTCCAGTACGCCAGTTTATTTTTTATATTTACTTTAGAAAAATAACTTCACTATAGCATTGACTGTGTTTCTTTTGAAACCCCATAACATTGCACAAATTATCATGATTGGAGCAAAGTTATATAAATGTATATTATGTATAATAAGATTACTAAAAGAATATAAGAATGTAAGTGTTAACTAACAACAGAACCAAAACAGGGTCGATACTCGACTGCTTAGTTTATATGCATTACTCTAAAATCTTGAGCGGGCCGGGTGGGGATCCAATATAATTGTAAGATCCGTAATGAATTTAGAATAAACTATGTTGAAATCCTAGTTCACAGGTGTAATAAAAATCTTATTTGAAGTTGATAGTTATTTACTGTTAAATATTTTCGTTAGTTTATATGTCGGATCTGGTGTCTCCATATAGCAAGACGCGAATGTCTTGTATATCGGGTGGGAGAGTTTTGATAATTGTTTGCTGTTCATTAAAGATAATTTGGACAGTGTTATGGCAGCAACAACATGATTCATCTTTGAGAAAATTAGGATTTCTTTTATTTTATGCGAAAATAAAAACAGTCCAAACTATATTATAATCAGAGAAATGTTAAAACAAAGAAATAGACAAGACAAGAATACAGTCCATAACATAAATTATTATCGTCCATGTCTTCATAATTAAACGTTTTAATTAAATTTTAATGTTTGAATTGTGTGCTTTGTTTTCCATTTAATTGACAATTGGTATGAGTCGACAAATTCATCGCTCGCTGCAAGTATATATAGCCTTACTCCAATAGTGATATTTTGTGCAATGATATGGGGTTTGAAAAGAAATATAGCCAATGCTGTAGTCAGGTTATTTTTCTACAGTAAATCTAAAAAATGAACTAACGTATTGGAAATATGAAATTTTATGCTTTTGTGAATAATAAGAATATATTATTTGTTGTGTTTGGTGTTTCTTCTTTTCCATATGTTAGATTAGATAAACACTAATTTCTTGTCTGCGATATCAGTTAGGTGGACGCGTACGTTATATTTAATTGAAAGAAACCAAACGATTAATAAGCAACGAACCAATCGGACACCATTCTCTGAATTTAAATATCCTTTGATTGTATGCATCGAAGCCGAAGGGCAACCGGTTAGTGCCGAAATGTAAATCAACAATCATCACAGTATTCTGTCTTGTGGATTCAGCTAAGGTTATAAGTTCCATAAATTTATAATCAACGAATGAAGGTTGTGATTTAAACTTTACGATGTAACCCGGTGGGAAGATGTTAGTGCCGAAATGTAAATCAACAATCATCACAGTATTCTGTCTTGTGGTTTCAGTTAAGGTTATAAGTTCCATAAATTTATAATCACCGAATGAAGGTTGTGATTTAAACTTGACGATATAATATTACTTAATTAGGATGTTATTTGAACATTTAAATAGTTCATAAATTCTAACTTTGATATTTCTAATCATTATTAAATAGAATATTCGTGCACTAGTATCAAGAATATACAGTCAAAATGGGTAACAAATAATGTTATTTTTTGTCATGGTTGATTGATTAGAATCCTTGATATCGTTCACCTATATAGGTGTTAGTAACAACTGCGCCGTGTTGTGATACCTGATTGGGGCCTGTTACTGTTGTTAAATAGTTAGTGGTCTCATTCCCTGTTTGTTTGTCAGAGTTAACAGGAGTGCCTGGTATGACCTAGGCTCAAATTTGTTGTATCATGGGGAGTACTTATTGTTTACCTTATATTATATAGTTTATGCGTGGTTTTTCTTGCATAGCCAGCCACATACCTCAGAATTTATCTGTATATGAATTATGCAAATTAATCTAGGTTCTATCCATGTTCTTAACATGCATCCATCAGCCTTTAAATAATAGTCAAAAGTATTAAGGATTACTCAGCACATGGTTGGTGAGTTGCGAGCATAGTGGCGGACATGTTGTAGTGAATTACCCCTGTAAACTCATAGAGTTTTTATGTCTGAATTGAGTCTGAATTGAGTCAGAATTATGTCTGAATTAAGTATGAAAAGAGCCGAAAATGATCTATGAAACTTAAGTAATTTTGTTCTCTGTAAACATTCAATTACATTCAGTCAGTAAACTAATATAAAACCTATGACGATTCTTCTGTTTTAAAAGTCAAGACTCAAGTGACGGTAGTCAACAGAATCCGGAAAGTTCTAGCCCAGTCAGCCGTGCCTGCCCTACTGCCATGCGCCTAGTTAAGCTCAGTGCACGACGTGCGATGTGTCGTGCACGGCAGCTATAGTAAAAACTCTCAGTTTATAATGTGTAATAAAGTTGGAAAGAAAGGCACTATGGCCTAGCCTAGAGAGTAGCCTGTGACTGGATCGTTGCGACTCGGAACTTGTTCATGCGTTTAGAGAATGTGTTCCTGTGTTCCAGTTACCAGAATCTACTATTGTTGCGGTAAGGCCTTAGGCCTATAGAACTTTGACTGGATCGTTGCGACTCGAACGTGTTCATGCTTTTAGAGAATATGTTCCTGTGTTCCAGTTACAAGAATCTACTATTATTGCGGTAAGGCCTTAGGCCTATAGAACTTTGTCTGGATCGTTGCGGCTCGAACTTGTTCATGCGTTTAGAGAATATGTTCCTGTGTTCCAGTTACAAAACCTACTATTGTTGCAGTTAGGCCTTAGGCCTAGATAGCTTTGCCTGGATCGTTGCGGCTCGAACTTGTTCATTGTTTGGAGAACCTGTTCCTGTGTTCCAGTTATAGAATCTACTATTGTTGCGGTTAGGCCTTGGGCCTAGAGAACTCTGCCAGGATTGGTGCGACTCGGTATTGTCTCATGCGTTTAAGAACTTGTTCCTGTTCAAGTCATCTTTTGAATCGTTGCGTTTGGGACTCGTTGATATGACTTTGGCATTTTTTTACCCACTCAGTTACTTATAGAATTTATAATGATTCTATTCTTTATGTGATATAATGATTAGACACTATTTCAAATTTGAGGAAACTAGTTAAGTAATTGTTTGTGAAATATTTGTAAATTCATAGAGTATTGATAACTGATTATGTTTGTATCAAATGCGTAATTACCTTTCAATCAGAATACTTTAATGTCATTGGAATTAATGTAACTAATTTGTTGGAATATGTTTGGATCATGGTGTCAATAGTTGGCTTTGAATTTGCGCTATTTTATGTATGCAATATATATGAATATCATTGTTAAACTTTATACATGTATATGTCACTTGTGTTTCAGGATTAACATGTTTTAGATTCAATTAGGTCATAGGCACAATGTCATCATCCCGTTCACACAAATCCACTTCGTCCTTTGTTACAAAAAGTATTGCGTCGCGTTCTAGTTCAAAATCTAAATTTGCAGCCGAAGCAGCTGCCTTAAGGGCTAAGTTAAAATACTTAGATGCGGAAAGTAAGGCTCGACTTGAATTAGAAAGGATCCAAACACAAAGAGACATTGAGATAGCTGAAGCTGCGCTAAAATCATACGAGGATGATCATTACAGTGCAAAGAAAGAAATAGACTTATCGAGTGACCTAGAGAATATTCAAAATCGTAATGAATATGTTAGAGACTATATTAATCAAATGCCTGATGCTGAAACACTATCACTGTTACCTCAAACTACAGTACCACCAACGCGACAGTTTGACATTCTACCAGGTTCTGCCCCATCTTCAGTTCAAAACTCAAGTTCCTCTCAACAACAATCGGATATTGTAAATCTTGCGCAAACACTAGTGGATCAAATGAATCTAACGAAATTACCTATTCCAGAACCACCATTATTCAAAGGCAACATCCTTCAGTACCCAGCATGGAAAAACACCTTTAACACTCTGATAGAAAGAAAATCAATTCCAGATCAAGAAAAACTGTTTTATTTGAAGAGATACCTGGATGGCGATGCTAAAGATTCGGTGGAAAGTTATTTTCTCCTCGACTGTGCGGATGCGTATCATGATGCCAAGGCTTACCTGGAAAAACTGTATGGCGACCCCTTCAAGATTGCTCAAGCCTTCCGAGACAAATTAGAGAACTGGCCTCGGATATATCCGCGTGATGGAGCTGCTCTGCGAAAACTTTCAGACTTTTTAAGGCAATGTCAAACTGCAATGATTTCCAACAAGTCTTTATCAGTGTTAAATGATCCTAGAGAAAATCGTAAGCTGTTATGTAAGCTACCTGAGTCAATATACAGCAGATGGGCGGTTAAAGTGCATGATTATAAGACACAGCATCAAGACTTCCCACCCTTTCAGGAATTTGTTCGTTTTATCACTCGTGAATCAGATATAGCATGTGATCCTGTTACTTCTCAAATATTCAAGCCTTTAAACACAAGTCAAGGTCATTCAAGTGGTTATTTTAACAATGCGAATTCACATCGGAGATCAAATGGCTTCAAAAGCTTTCAGGATCGGAAAACTCCAAGTGCGACATCATTGGCTACAGGAGGGACCGATACATCTAATAAATCAAGTGGTTTTATTCAACAGTGTGCACTTTGTAAAGGAAGGCATCATCTTAATGAATGTCCTAAATTTTTAGAGAAAACCATACCCGAGAAGAAAAGGTACATTGAGGAAAATCGACTCTGTTATGCATGTATGTTTCTTGGACATCTTTCTAAGCACTGCAGACAACGGTTATTTTGCTCAGTATGCAGTAAAAGGCACCCTACAAGTCTTCATGGAGATACGCTCCCCTCCAATGAAAGGGAACAGGCTGTTAGTCATAATGCGAAGGTGAATTCTATTGAAGATAAGAGTTCTATGATAGTTCCTGTTTGGCTTTCGCATGTAGATAACCCAGAGCATGAAAAACTTACTTATTTGCTACAGGATTCACAGTCTGATACCTCCTTCTGTACGAATAATTCGGCCAATGAGTTGGATGTCAATGGTAAACCTGCACATTTGATGTTATCCACTATGTCTGCTGAAAACCAGCTGATTGATTGTAGAAAGATTTCTGGTTTACAAGTTAGGGCTTATAACAGTGATCCAGCCTCCAAAAGAATTTCACTTCCCCCTGTATTCACAAGAGATAGGATACCAATAAATAGATCCCACATACCTACCCCTGAGATGGCAAGAAAGTGGCCGCACCTGTCTAAGATTGCGTCTGATATTCCACCTCTAATGGATTGCGAAGTAGGTTTGTTGATTGGATACGACTGCCCCAAGGCTCTCACTCCAAGAGAAGTGATACCTCACGACAATACTGGCCCCTTTGCGCTGAAGACAGATTTAGGTTGGGGAATTGTCGGAGTCGTCAGTGGACTTCCAGATGAGTCAGAGTTCGATGCGATTGGTAGCAGTAGTCAAGTTTTCTCTTGTTCAACAGATGCAGCCGAAGTTAGATTCTCGTTGCGAAATAAGGTCAAGGAATTAATTAATCCAGCAGAAGTTTTAAAAATGATGGAAATGGATTTTAGCGAGCGATCATTCGAAGGATCAGGAATTTCTAGAGATGATCAGCAATTCCTTGATAAGATGAACTCCTCGATAAGAATGGTAGAAGAACATTATGAGATGCCCCTACCATTTCGAAGCGAAAGGCCATTTCTACCAAATAATCGTCAAGCAGCAGTTAGTAGATTGAATTTACTTACCAAAAGGTTTCAACGCAATGTTGAGTTCAAGACGGACTACAGCACTTTTATGGATGAGATCATCACAAACGGCTATGCGGAGTTGGTACCAGAAGATGAAATTCACTGCGATAATGGTCATATTTGGTATATTCCACATCACGGAGTTTACAACGTGAATAAGCCTGGTAAAATACGTGTCGTATTTGACTGCAGTTATACACTGAATGACCATCTACTAAAGGGACCCGATCTTACTAATAGCCTTTTTGGTGTGTTATGTCGATTCAGATCTCGAAAAATTGCGTTCGTCTGCGATATTGAAAAAATGTTTTTTCAATTTAAAGTTACTCCAGTAGATAGGGACTATTTGAGATTTTTGTGGTGGAAGGACGATAAAATAACAGATTATCGTATGTCTGCGCATTTGTTTGGCGCTGCGTCTTCTCCTGGATGCGCCAACTATGGACTTAAGAGAGCTGCTAACGACTTTGAAGATGAGTTTGGATCTTGCATTGCGGACTTTGTTCGAAATAACTTTTATGTGGACGACGGCTTGTTATCCGTAGATACTGAATGGGAAGCCATAGAAATCGTGGATAAGAGTAAGAAACTTTTAGCAAAATGTGGATTGCGTCTTCATAAGTTTGTTTCAAACTCCAAAAAGGTTTTACAAGAAATTCCTGTGCAAGACCGTGCTTCGACTGTTCAATCGTTGGAGTTATTCAGTGATGAGTTGCCAGTTGAACGTTGCTTAGGAGTCCAGTGGTGTGTACAGTCGGATACCTTTCAATTCCGCATCTCCTTAAAGGATCAACCTCTTACACGACGTGGTATTTTATCTACTGTATCTTCAATCTATGACCCCCTTGGATTGATTTCCCCTGTGATATTGGTCGGAAAGCAAATTTTGCAAGAACTTTGTAGAAATCAAACCGATTGGGATGCAGAAATCCCTGAAGAACTCCGCACCCGGTGGGAGGCTTGGAGATCAAATCTGATAGACCTAGAAAAGCTGAAGATCGACAGATGTTTTAAGCCCAAGGATTTCGGTGAAGTACAGATCGCTGAATTGCATCACTTTTCGGATGCCTCTACTTATGGATACGGACAGTGCTCCTATTTGCGACTTGTAGACGAGAACAATAAAGTGTCCTGTTCGCTTGTTATGAGCAAGTCTCGTGTTACCCCTTTGAAACCCATAACGATCCCAAGACTAGAATTATCCGCTGCACTGGTGTCGGTCAAGGTCAGCAATCAATTACGAGCAGAACTAGACTATGAAAATGTGATCGAAAGTTATTGGACAGACAGTAAGGTAGTTTTGGGCTACATCAATAATGATGCTCGTCGTTTTCATACCTTTGTTGCCAACAGAATTTCACAAGTACGGGATTCAACAGAACCAAACCAGTGGTATTACGTTAAATCAAGTGAAAATCCTGCTGACATAGCCTCGCGTGGGGTGACTGCTCATGAGCTTTTAAACTCCAAATGGTTTTCTGGACCTGATTTTATTTGGAAACCAACTATTCAGGCTTCAGAGGAACAAATCGGCACTACTGTCCATGGAGATGATCCTGAAGTAAAACATGTCACGTCACTTGCTACGCACACCCAGAAAACCCAGAAAACGTTTGAACTTTCTCGACTTAGCCACATATCAGACTGGTTTCATGCGAAAAGATCCATTGCTTTGTGTTTGAAATTGAAAGATTACTTGCGAAGAAGACTTCAAACTAAGGATCTTAAGGAACCTGTATATGGTCCATTGTTGGTTGAAGATTTGCGTAAAGCAGAGCTTGAAATCATTAGGCTTGTTCAAGCTGAGGCCTTTGGGGACGAAATAAAGCTTATTCAGGAGTCTACTCGGTCGACGGATGGATCAGTAACAAAATGTCTCAAGAGATCATCTCGTCTATTCAAATTAGATCCTTTTATGGATTCCAATGGAATTCTGTGCGTAGGAGGAAGACTTAAAATTTCTGGTTACGATGTTATGGATAAACACCCAATGATTCTGCCTAAGAAAAATCATATTACAGACTGCATCGTTCGTTACTTTCACGAGTTAGCTGAACATCAAGGTAGAGGGATTACAACCAATTTTATTCGCTCAAATGGTTTTTGGATAATTGGATGTAGTCGATTAGTTTCTTCATGTATTCTGCGCTGCGTCACATGTAGAAAACTTCGGGGACGTTTACAAGGGCAGAAAATGAGTGAGCTACCAAAGGATCGCATACAAGAAGCACCACCGTTTACCTATTGCGGAGCAGATTGCTTTGGGCCGTGGTATATTAAACAAGGACGGAAGGAAATTAAACGCTACGGCCTCCTTTTCGTGTGCATGTCTAGTCGTGCAGTACATATTGAAACTTTGGATAACTTAAGTACAGACTCATTTATCAATGGATTACGACGGTTCCAGTGCCTCCGTGGTCCGATTCGTCAATTGCAGTGCGATAATGGGACAAACTTCGTTGGTGCGTCTCGTGAATTAACTGAAAGTCTCAAGAATTTAGACAACAAATACATTCAGAAATATCTCTTGGAGAATGGTTGCGACTATTTTGAATTTTGCTTCAATGTGCCTACTGCGAGCCACATGGGTGGCGTTTGGGAACGCCAGATCCGCACAATTCGGAGTGTGCTGTCATCGATCATTCATAAAACTGGATCTCAATTAGATGACGAATCATTGAGAACATTTATGCATGAAGCAGCTGCGATAATCAATAGTCGACCTTTAACAGTAGACAATTTGAATGATCCACAGTCTTTGTCACCTTTAACCCCTAATCACATTTTAACCATGAAGTCAAGGATTGTGTTACCTCCTCCAGGACAATTTCTACAACAAGATGTCTATTCTCGTAAGCGCTGGAGAAGAGTGCAGTATGTATCCAATCAGTTTTGGAATCGATGGAGATTAGAATACTTACACAACCTTCAACAACGTAGTAAATGGATTAAACCATGTCGTGATATGTGTGATGGTGACATTGTGCTAATCGTGGATGATAATTTATCCCGTAACAATTGGGCATTAGCTCGCATTATTGAAATTATTAGAGATGGTGACAACCATGTTCGTAAAGTAAAAGTTGTGTTAGGTGACTCCAAGTTAGATTCTAATGGTAAACGTGTTCAAAAGCAAACAATCTTGGAACGACCTATACATAAACTTGTTTTGGTTTTAGAGACCGGGGGTTCCCCTTCGAGGAGCCACTTTTACGGATCCTTAGCTCGTATGAGCAGAAGTAGAGCTTAGTAATTATGTAACTTGATTGGTAATTTTGAATTAAGTAGAATTAGTATGTTAGTGTTTTGAATTCATATTAAATATTAAGATTGTCAGACTTACTGCGAAATTTTGCTACTTTTAGTGTTAGTCATGTATTATAAGTTAAAGAGTTTCTGGTTACATTGAATTGACATAGTAGTTGAGTATGTTAGTTAATAGATTATTATTTGAAAATCAGTTAAACTAATTTTGGGAAGCCATGTTACTGTTGTTAAATAGTTAGTGGTCTCATTCCCTGTTTGTTTGTCAGAGTTAACAGGAGTGCCTGGTATGACCTAGGCTCAAATTTGTTGTATCATGGGGAGTACTTATTGTTTACCTTATATTATATAGTTTATGCGTGGTTTTTCTTGCATAGCCAGCCACATACCTCAGAATTTATCTGTATATGAATTATGCAAATTAATCTAGGTTCTATCCATGTTCTTAACATGCATCCATCAGCCTTTAAATAATAGTCAAAAGTATTAAGGATTACTCAGCACATGGTTGGTGAGTTGCGAGCATAGTGGCGGACATGTTGTAGTGAATTACCCCTGTAAACTCATAGAGTTTTTACGTCTGAATTGAGTCTGAATTGAGTCAGAATTATGTCTGAATTAAGTATGAAAAGAGCCGAAAATGATCTATGAAACTTAAGTAATTTTGTTCTCTGTAAACATTCAATTACATTCAGTCAGTAAACTAATATAAAACCTATGACGATTCTTCTGTTTTAAAAGTCAAGACTCAAGTGACGGTAGTCAACAGAATCCGGAAAGTTCTAGCCCAGTCAGCCATGCCTGCCCTACTGCCATGCGCCTAGTTAAGCTCAGTGCACGACGTGCGATGTGTCGTGCACGGCAGCTATAGGGCCATTAATTAAGAAAGCTGTGTGTGTGAAATAGTTTTACTTGACGTACGCGTCCACATAACTAATATCGCAGACAACAAATTTGCGTTTATCTAATTGCAAAAGAAGGACCGCCGTGTTATTTCATATTGAAACCAAACAGCATGTAATCAAAGAAGGCTTTTATCCGCCATATTTAATATTGTCACGTGACATTGTTATGTTTTTTTCGCTTGGGTAGCGTTTATTATACACGATAGAACTCCAGTATAGTAAACCATAGCTATGGACAATATCATGTCCCAAATAAATAATCTAATTTGTAGATCGGCAGTTTGTCAAGTGAAGATCCGAACATTATTTGTATGGCTCAATTTGTTGATAGCAAATACCGCTAATAATTATCTTGGATAAAAAAAAACACGCTTAGTAAACGAGGCAATTTTACCCAGCCTCGTTCTGAACAAAAAACCTCGTTCCAAAACGGGGCAATTTAAAAAACCTCCTTTTGGAACTCCAGACAAAACGAGGCATTTTTTTTTACCTCGTTAGAACGAGGCAAAAACGAGGCAAAAATTTTAACACATTTTTGCCTCGTTTGGACAGAAATGCCGAACGAGGCATTCTGAGGTTTATAGTGTATGTTCTATTGATCATACATAGACCTATAACTAGAATTGTGATAATAGTTCTTCGCTTTGTGGGCACTTACTTCACACGAATAGCAATACACATCTGGTGGAAGCTTGCAGGAATAGCAATACACATCTGGTGGAAGCTTGCTAGAATTGTGATAATAGTTCTTCGCTTTGTGGGCACTTACTTCACACGAATAGCAATACACATCTGGTGGAAGCTTGCAGGAATAGCAAAACACATCTGGTGGAAGCTTGCAGGATTTGGAAACATGTCCAGTTTCCCCACAATTGAAGCAAATGGGAATTTTTACACGTTTGGTTGGTTTCAGGATGTCCACATAATTTTTAAATGTTTTAACTAACTCAGCTGTTCCTAAATCACTCGAATGTTTTCCATCTTTCCAGTACATGTTCAAATCATAAGAAAATATTGGACGATAATTAATAAGGATATACGCGAGTTCTTACACACCTTTTCATATATCGCATTTATGGGAGCAACGTCCACATCACATCGAACTCGCGACAGGAGTATATTTGTAGATGGACAGGCACCTTGATTATATCTTGATGCTGTAAAGATTTCTTCTTTGGCTCATGTCATCACCACCTACCAATATAATAATGTCTTTAAAGTCAGGTAGATGATAGTAGGACAGTTGTCTGTATATAGTGGGTATAATTCCACCCTTTATACAATTCACTGTTACAGTTTCTATTAAACCCCTTGGAGTAATTCTTTGAAGGATGGAGCTACCAATTATGAATGTCCCTTTGACTTGATTTTTGAGTCTCTATTCAGGTGCTCCTACTATGTCTCAGAAGACCTAATTCCCGGGGTCCGAGGGCAGACCCTCTCTGAGGTCTCGGACGACCTCTAGGTCTGCCCACGTCTCTCTCTCTAGGTCCCCCTAGGTCTGCCTGGATTCCTGATGTTGTTGTTGTTAGTTAGTTGTATTTTACGTCCGCTTCCACGGAGGTGATATCGCAGACAAGAGGATTCCTAATTGTTGTTAGTTGTATTTTACGTCCGCTTCCACCGAGGTGATATCGCAGACACTAACATTTTATGTATTCAAGGTGCAATAATTTACAATGTGATTAGTGAAAAAGAGGATAATTAGGTTTTTATATATATGTACAGAAGACAGTAGATAATAGAAAGAGACATGGGATAACAGGTGCAAAGAATAAAAAGGTGCCAGTGGACGTTTACAAAACAGACGAATTTGTAACAAAACAGACATGAATGTGGACGAACATATGGACAGGGACAAACATTTAGACATAGTATGCACATATATATATATATATATATATATATATATATATATATATATATATTTAGGTCGTTTTCGTCGGTCTGGTCGATTTGTTCGGTTGAATGGCAGGGCGGCAACTCTTCCTTGGGGCTTGTTGGTGAGTGTAAGGCCTGGACCATTCTTCCTTCCATTTGGTTTTGTTGTCCGGTATGGTGGTTGATTTCGTCATTATTTCTGTTGTTCATTCCTTTGTTGTTGGTTCTCTGAAGGAAGAATCCAGCGCCTGAAAAGAGAAAGCTAGAGAAAAAAGAGTAGCTGGTCTTGTGATGGTTTTGTTTTTATTTCGTCTAGTAAGGTTTCGGGGGGGGGGGGGCTGGGGTTGGAGAGAAAAAAAAATTGCATTTATGGCAAGTTAGTATGATATACATTCAATCAAAATTTATTAGGAGTTGATAAATACAATAATACATATATGGTGGCTTAATATGATCTACAATCAATACTTATTTAGTCAATTAAATAAAAGTGTAAAAAATATTTGCGCTAACACCCTGATTCATTACTTAATAGTTTTATTTGTGGTGTAGGACAGGTGGCTATTCCCTCTAGGGGGACGTTTTTTCGCTTCATCCTACATTGTATAATTTGATTTATTAATTTTATCGGAGTTTTATTAGTAGTGTAGGGCGGTTTACGCTTTCTTCTAGGGAACATTTTTACGTTCCGCCCTACTGTTTAATTGATTAATTTTATTATTTTATGTATTTGGTCATGCCTATATTTATTAGTAGTGTAGGGCGGTTTACGCTTCCTTCTAGAAGACATTTTTACGTTCCGCCCTACTGTTTAATTGATTATTTTATGTATTTGGTCAAAGGAGAAAGGAGAGATTTGAGACAGAGAGTTTCTCCCCTCTCTGCTAGATTCTTTATCACGGATTGACGTTCTATGTTTAATTGATTACAGTTGATTAGCAGGTGTGACGTGGTCGCAATTTGTCCACATGGGCATTTAATTGGTGTAAAGGTGAAGTCTTTCATTGCGTTTATCGTTTTGAGCCTCGTGATGAGTTTGCATATTTTAATTGAGGGATGATTGATGTAAACCTTGTCTACAAGATTGCTATCAATTTGATAGCGATGAGTATTTTCTTGTTTTAGACGGGTTTTCCATGCATTTTTATTTTTATCTTTAGCTATGCTTGTGAATTCCTGACTGCTGTATTCTAAATTTTCTATATCGTTTAGTGACAACCCTTCCTTGGCTAGTTTGTCAGCTTGTTCGTTGCCGAAAATATTGATGTGGGGGGGGGGGGGGAATCCATGCAAGGACTACCTCTCTCCCATTATTCTTGAATTTTTGATTTAGGTCCCATACTTGATGGATTATGTCCTGTCGGCTTTTGGAGGAATTTGATTCTATGGATTTGATGCTACTCAAGGAGTCAGATAGGATTACGGCTTTTTGGTATGTTTGCGTGTCTAGCCATTCCATTGCAGGTTTGATGGCCATCAGTTCTGCGGTATACACAGAACAATGTTCTAGTATCCTTTTCCTGATGTTTAGTTTTGCTTTGGGTATGAATAAGCCGTACCCTGTTGAACCCTGTGTATTGTTTTTTGATCCATCTATGTAGATTTTGAGATGATCCGTCCATTTGGTGTCAATTAATTCTAATGCTAGTGCTCTAGCCTCTATGGGATCAGCGCGTTTGTTTGTGACGTCACTTAAGTGCGTGTTAATGATAGGGTCGCTTATTTGCCAAGGTTGAGTGACGGGGTAGGTTTTTGTCTCAATAATTGTTCCTTTCAAACCGTGCTTGTTTAAGATATCGTTTGACATTTGCCCGAATGTCATAGGGCGAGTGTTTTTCCGGGAGCCTATTCGTTGAAATTGTTTGAGACACTTATATGTCGGACATCTTTCTTTTAGCATTTGTAGTTTACCCCAATACTTGAGTGACAGTTCCTCGCGCCTGAGATCAAGCGGAAGCTCTCCCATCTCGTGTAATAGGGCAACTGTTTTGGTTCCTATAGCTGCTCTCGTTACTAGTCGTATTGCTTTACTTTGTATTGTGTTTAGTCTATTGAGTTGTGTATCACTTGCATTTGCATAAGCCAGACATCCGTAGTCGATTACCGAGCGGATGAGTGCTCTGTATATTAACATAAGAGTGCTCCTATTGGCGCCCCATTGCATCCCTCTGATATATTTCATCATGTTGAGTGTTTTAAATTCAATTTTCGTGCCGTTTAGATTTAAATCAATTTTTCTATTGCTATCGGTCGGATGGAACAGCATTGCTACTGTCTTTCCCTCTGATATTTTAAACCCCCATTCATTAGCCCACTTAGAAATTTGTTCTAAAGTGTATTGCAGTGATTTTTTGATTTTGCCTATATCCTTTGATGCTTTCCAGAACGAGCTGTCATCTGCGAACAGCGCCGATTCTGTGTCCTTCCCCCCATAACTAGGAAGATCATTTATCATTATGTTGAAAAGTATTGGACTGATAACGGATCCTTGTGGCGTTCCGTTTTCCATTTTGAATTTGTCACTTAAGCAATTACCTACGCGTACTCTGATATGCCTATCGTTCAGAAAGTTTTCAATCCATTTGTACATTCGGCCTTTGATTTTTGCGTTGTGGAGTTTGTGTAAAAGACCGTCCACCCATACAAGGTCAAAGGCCTTTGTTAAGTCGACGAAAATTGCACAAAGGTATTGTTTGGCTGTAAATGCTTTGGAGATGTCGTGTTGCAATCTGATGATATGGTCTGCAGTAGACCCGTCGGAGCGGTAGCCACTTTGCCGATTTGTGAAGATATGATTGCTTTCAACAGTGATACTTAAGTCTGTTTGTAATTATTGGTTCTAATGTTTTGCAGTCGATGTGAGACTGACTGGAAGATACGACGTTGTTTCATTTTTGTCTTTATTGTGCTTATGCAGGGGAATGACTGAGGC